TGTCAGAACTGATTAAATCATTATTGTTTCTCTCTCATGATGTGGTTTGGCAAAGAACTAGAGCTGGGAGTACAGCTGTGTCAGCTCTGGCTCTTCCTGTTGCTCACCCGCGCTTGCATCATTGCTTCTACCTTGAGTCCAGGTTTCTACAGGAATCGGTCAAAGCTGCTTTCTATTTTGTGACAATTAGTTTGGTTGAAACTAGATAATATAGTCAGGAAAGCTATTCAACCGGGCACAGATAAACTATAATTCTTTTCAACACCTTGAAAAGAAGCCAGTCAGTCAGTACCTCCCCACCCCCAGAGCTGTGGAATGCCTGCTCTTCTCTTTTTTTGGAGACCTTGTGTCTTCACATGTGTCTGTGACTCCTGGAGATGTGGATTGACTGAGGGGCCAACCTAATACCATATACTAAATCAATGAAGCTTTATTTCTTATTTTTTAGGTAAAAATTAATATACATAGATGTGAAGATGCTTTGCGCACACCCAGTGATCATCCCCTGAGGTGTAGTATTCTATTTTGGAGACCACCAGTATAACCAGTGCCTTCTCAGTATCAACACTGGCATGGCTAACAAGCATCTCAGACTCAATGTGTCTAAACAAAACGTTTTATCCTCCTTCTCCCTCCCAAATAAAGCCTGCTTCTCCCTCAACTCGGCAAATGGCACCTCTATTTGCCCCATTGCTCCAGTTGAAAACCTCAGGGTCTTCTTGACCTCTCTCATTCTGTCAAGCTCCTCATCCAATCCATTAGCGAATCTGTCAGCTCTGCCTTTAAATTATATCCTCTCTAACTCGTTTTCTCTCTCTCCATTGTTACCACTCTGTTCCAAAACACCATCATCTCCTGCCCAGTCTACTGTGATAGGCTCTCAGTTCTCCTTACCCTTGCCTGCCTTCAGTCTCTTCTCCACACAGCAGCAAGAAGCTCTTCTGGAAACGGAAGTCAGGTCATGTCATTCCCCCATCCAAAACTTCCAACACTCTTTGAGTAGGGTCTGATTTCCTTACCATGACCTTCAGGAACCTACAGGATCTGTTCCTTGCTTGCTTTTTAGATTTCATCTCCTGTCACCCTGCCCCGTTCACTCTGTCCCTGCTACACCAGCCTTTGTGCTGTTAGGCAATACCATTAATAGCATGGCAGGGCTACTTCCCTCATTTCACTTGACCTCTGTTCAGAGAGGCCTTTCCTGGCTACTCTTCTAAAATAGCTTCCACACAAATGCCATCCCCACCACTCTTGATCTTATCCTCTTAACCCTGTTTTAATGTTCTTCATCTCACTTACCTCTAGTTAGCATTCTCCTATATGTTTATGTGTTTGCTCATTTACTGTCCATATTCTCCACCAGAATGAGAGCCCCTTCAGGGCAGGGCCATGTCTGTCTTCTTCTCCACTGTATCGCCAGCTCCTAGAACAGTACTCAGCACATAATCAGTGCCAAGTATTTGGTTGAACAAACAGATCTGCCCAGGGACAACAGAGGAAATCCCAAGGATAGTTGCCAACATTAAGAGAAAAGAGGGCAAAGGGCAAATCTGTGGGGTTATATTTAAATTGAGGGCAAAAATTGGTACTCTAAAGGAAGTGAAATCTCAGCCAGTTAACTAGGCACGAAGAGGACATAACCTGCTTTGGGGCACCCAGCAAGGAAGGCATCAGGCTGGACTCATCTCTCTGCCCCAATGTGAGAATGTTTTCAAACAGCAAATCTGAGCACACAGCAAAAACCTGGACAACCCGACACATCAACCTCTCAGCCCAAGGCCGTGCTGTCTCCTGTTATCTCGAAACACTCATTTAAAAGGGGTTCAAAGCAGGGTCCTGAGGCCACAGCACTGCCTAGAGCACCGTCTCCTCTGAGCTGTGACAAAGCAGGAGCTCCAGGGCACCCTGGGAATCTGCGTGGGCCGCTTGTAGCTCTCCTTCAGAAGTCAAGGCGTGATTCTTAAGAAAATAGTCAGATGCTGGAGAGTGACCTCGTTTATTAGGTCACCATCTTTGCCACAGAAAGACCATAGTGTTTGTCCATAGCCTGAAATACTCAAAGGCCACGGTGTTGAAAAGAGGGCGAGCCTTCAGGTCTCTTTGTCACCATTAATCCTGGTCCCCGCTGGTCTCTCCTTTTTGCATCAGAAAAGCTTTCTTGTATTTTTTTTTAAAGAGGGGGAGAAAACAGCTGTGTGGGATTTGAGAATGGGATTTTAATGGTCACTGAAGACACACAAAAGCTTTGCTCTGATCCTGAAGTGTTCTGGGGCAATTGACTCCTTTGTCTGGGGCAGCAAAACAAGCTGGCTGCTCAAGGAGAATAGAGAACCAACTGGAACGTGTGATTGAGGTCTCCTCAGGCCAGATCTTCAGCACATTTGCAAAGAGCTGTTTTCAGGCGTCTCTTCATGACATTTCGGAATCGCTTTTTAGTGTTCAGCTCATTTTTACCTTGTGAAAGAAACTAATTTGGAAGGTGCTTGGCATGAATTATTTCTGTAGGTCTTTTTCTCTGGCAGGAAAATGGAAACCGTGAATGACAATATGAGTTTGTTTATGTGAAGCAGAGCTTTCACTGTGAGAAAAAAGAACTGGTGCCCTCTTTTCCTCAGGGCAGCCCAAGGGGCATTTCTCAGCCCTTTGCTCAGTTAAGAAATTGCAACAGATGTGGGATATTGTGAAGCTTCTCAAAATGTAACCTTGAAAAGGCTTTGGGGGAGTTAAATAGTTCTGAGGAGGGGTGGGCACCCAGAGCAGCGGGAGCCCATCCAGTTACTTTTTTCAGTGAGAACCAGGTTCCTTCTTGTCCCCCCATGGACATCACCCATGGAAGAATCCGTTTTCTGCCAGAGGAACGCTGATGGAGCAGACCATGCTGATCCAGCTCTAAGTTACGATAATAAGGCGGTTGGAATCATTGCCATCACATGAGCAGTTTCCCCTTAGGCGAAGGAGTGTTATGGAAACAGCTGTTCCCAAAATGGAACTGGCCTGGGCTCTAGGGGGCTCTGGACAGCCTTGGTTTTATTTACTTTCTGCCACTCTTCGTGACAGTTGGCTTCTTAGAGCCATGAAGGGGTTATTCTCATTTACTGGACTGCTGTAGGCACTGGGAAAGTCAGGTGGGACACAGGATAAAAAGTCATGACTTCCTGGTACATAATTCAACCCAGCTTTTCATGGGAGATGAGCTGAACCCAGAGTAATTATGGAAACCATTATCCAGTAGGGCTGCATTTAGAAAATAAGTCTGGAATTATAGGCTCTGTCTGCCACAGATCCATGCATCATACTCATTATAATATTGTTTGCCAAGAAAGCAAGAGTTTGGTCCACTTTTAATTTGTTTAAAAATCGTAGAATTAAATAAAAGTGATATGGGAATATTGTAAAAAAATACAAACAATATAAAAAATTATTAAGACTCAGAGTATACTTTATTGAATGATTGCATTTAATTTTAGAAATAATATTTGAAATGTGGCATATTTTGGCTTATGATTAAAAAAAAGCCTCATTTCTGTTTTTTTAGATTATGGAGTGAATAATGAAAAGACATTTCTATTGCTGGTAATAGAGAACTTTGTCATATTTAACCCTAAAAGTATATATGCAGATTCCATTTGCAGGATAGGATGAAAACGAATGTTCCCTCTTACAGACTTTCAGGAGATTATCATAGCTAATTTTATCATGCAATATTTTGTCTTCTATTTCTTGGCAGCTTAAATATAAAAGAGAATGTGTTTATTCCAGTCAAACTCCCCTAATACCCCAGAGAGAATCCTTGGCAAAGTCTTGAATTGTGATTCAGTCTGCTCTTTTGTTAAATGATCTTTTCCCCCTTAAACCCAAATTCTTGATCTCACCGTAGGTATATTTCACAAACAAGCTGTGGGTCCTTGGCCAAATTATTTAATGTCCCTAAGTCTCTGTTTCTGTAAAATGGAGCTAATAATAGCACCTCGCTCCTTAGGGTTGTTTTTCGGACTAAATGAGATAACGTATGTGGGGCTTTGGCACGGTGCCTGGTAGATCGTGAGTACTCCACAAATGTTAGCCAGTAGAAAGGCCATTTTGATGGTTATGATGACGATATTTGAATATTATACCAGGGAACCCAATTCAGTATATTCACGTTATCTTCATATCCTAAAATAAGATATAAATCCACATTTAACTAACAACACCAGAAATATAATCAGAAGCATAGTTTATTAATTTCCTTGTAGTTTATTCTTTCAGGAGACATTTACCAGGGTTTACTCTTTGTAACACATTAATTTTGTTACAAATATGAAGTGTGCTATCTTAGCTTGTAAGACCCTTGAGATCACCCTCCCCATAGCCACCAGAGAGTGACCTTTTCAAAACACAGCTTCTGGTCAGATTCCTTTCCTGTCAATGGTTCCTTTACCTACAGAATAAAATTCAAATGCCTGGCACTCAAGAACTTTTTCAATCTATCCCCAACCTTCCTTTCTTCCCTCTCCACCTGTATGTCATGCATGAATCTTCACGACCTTGGGGAGATCCTGTTCATCCTTCAAGGCCTGATAGAAATGTGGCCTCCTCTAGGAAGCCTTCAGGGATGCCACCGGCCAGAAATAATAGCACCCTCCTCTCTGTTCTTTTAGCACTAGACTTATGTTCCATGAAGGGTTTTCACCTTTATAATTCTTCTGACAGCCCTGTGAAGTAGGAGAGTCCTTGAGCGCTTGCGCTAAAAAATAATAAGGACTGCTGTGATCCCAGCCCCCAAGGAGCTCATGGTCTAGGGAGAGAGGACCTGTAAACGCCTCTAACAGTGGGTGACAGGGATGCTGGCAGAGGGGTGTGCACAGGGAACCCAGAGGTGGTGCACATTCTGTATTCAAGGGGTGTGTATGGGGGAGTGTGGGGTCAATGCCATCTGTTTACCTGCGTCTCTAGCACTCACCTCATCCTTCCTTGGCCTCTGTCCCCTGACTGACCAGATCGTTTCCCCCTTTGGCTAGTCAGTTGCAGGGCTGGGACGTATTATGATGGAGCACAAGAACGCTGCATTTTATGTCCAAATGGAACCTTCCAAAATGAGGAAGGACAAATCACATGTGAACCGTGCCCAAGACCAGACAATCCTGGGCCCCTGAAGACCCCAGAAGCTTGGAATGCATCTGACTGTGGAGGTAAGGATTCCGTCTGCCCCTTCTTACTCCTCCAGTCTCCAATATCATTGTTTAGACAGAAGGCATAAGTAGCACTTCAATGCAGGCAGTACCCACTGCACCATGGGCTTCCTACGAGCAGGGTCCATATTGGGTTCATCTTTGGCTCTCCAGTGCCTAGCTCAGTGCCTGACACATGCTGGGCTGATGCTCACTTGAACAAATAAATGAAGCTCTGCTAATACATTGGCAGAAAAGAGTGTAAATGTTGCAGTTGCATGCTTTATGCACTGTAAGTAAATATACCCTGAGCCCTGAGTGGTCTCCCAGTGTGTAGGGACTATCTGAAAGTGTTAAAATGGAGAAAGTGGTTCTGATTGTTTTTCCAGCTTTGGTCTCAAATTCATAGCTTATTGATTTTTAAAAAGTATCCATCTGGCTATTTTGTTAAAACTCTATGAAGAGTTTTTAATTGTCTCTTATAAAATGTTAACTCTGAAGCCAAGCTCACTTAAGTTCCATGGGCTTCTTTCCTACTTATTAGGAAATGTCTCCCCTTTTATTAAATGGAATAAGGGCCGGCTATGTTGACACTCTGTGGGCTCAAATGGAAGGTGTGATCTGACACGGCGATTTGTAGGTGATGTCCACAGCGGAGTGCACGGGACCCCCGGCGGACCCTGCCTCTCCTTCCAGTGCCTCCCAGAGCCAGCTTTAGTTCCCACCTGAATGACTCCAGACTCTACTGCAGGACCTTTTCAGGTTTAAAAATCAGATCCTCAGATTGACCGTGTGATGCCTACCATATCTTTGGCCTGTTGTGAAACCCCAGAACTAAATGCAAAGTTGATAAAGAGGCACTTTGAGGCATCTGTTCACACTTGTTTGTGACCTTATTAAGATGTATTTATAGTACTAAGAATGTTAGTAATAATAATTGCTAACATTTATTGAATACTTACCTATGCCAGGCATCATGCTAAGGGTACTACATGAATTATTCATATGGCGGTTGTGTCACTGCAACAATTCTATGAGGTTAAAATGATCCCTTGAAGGTCACACAGCCAAGGAGTGGGGATTTGGAATCAGAACTCAGATTTGACAGACTCCAGACTCCTCCCTTAGGTGTGTGTTCGTTAAACACTATTATATCTATGACTTATGGGTAGAAAAAGACCATGACAATTAACAGAAGAGAGACGATTAGGAACCCAAGAGACAACGGATTTTTATAGCATCTTGTCAATGACAAGCTAATTCCTAAGAAACATGTGCTTTTAGAAATCCTTTTGTTTATGGCTATTCTTCTTGTCATAAACTTAAAAAAATAAATAAAGTAAGGTGCCACTGGCCCCTCTGTCAAGCTGGGTTGAATTGGCTGGATTTAGTAGACTAACTGAGGGAGGTCAGGACACGCCTCAGTGTAAGGAGAGGTCACTTAGTAAATATAATTGATAAAACAGGGGAGACTTCCGTGACCCGAAGGGTCTTCATTTCACTAGGATGTCATCAGCTGGGTGAGGGTGATTTCTGGGTCGAACTACCAAATTGGTTCCAGAGCAGAGAACTGCCTCTCTCAGGGCTCCTGCGTTGCAGGGGCTGCCTGAGCACTGTGAGTCCTGATTCTGAAGCGTACTCAGGCGGGCCCCAGACTTTGGAAGTAGGTGACACTTGGCTCCTTGGTTTCCATCATTGCACTGTGCTGTGTAGCCCTGTGGGTAAACATCAGGTGCTCACATTGCCACCCATTCAGGGTCAGTGGCAGGGCAGAACAGGGCTCCCGTCGCTGAGGTGGGAGTTAAGTCAGCAGAGGGTGACAGGCCTGACCAACGTCTGATCTCATCTGCAGAAAGATGGGAAAGGGCCTTGCTCACCTCGGGTCATTGGTGCCCGCAGGTCTGTGCCAGCCTGGTGAATACTCTGCGGATGGCTTTACACCCTGCCAGCCCTGTGCCCTGGGCACATTCCAGCCTGAAGCCGGCCGTACTTCCTGCTTCCCCTGTGGAGGAGGCCTCCCCACCAAACACCTGGGAGCCACTTCCTTCCAGGAATGTGAAACCAGAGGTGAGGACTTGGCAGCCTGCCTTTTTCCAGAACTGAATTTCCCTTTTGAGAACCACGGTAGTCTGGTAAAGCTCCAATCAGGCCCAGCCCAGAGGTGATCTGTGTGGTGCCCCAGTGGCCAGGAGGTCAGGTGCCAGCTCCATCCACCCCTGCAAGATGTGCAGGGAGCACAGGACCTCCCCAGGCATGTCTCCCCCAGCTGCCTTGGCCCCTTCGGATGGGCTGACTAGAGGGACGATAGGAGAGATGAGCAGGTTTTGCACACAAGTTCCTCAGCTCCTTCCTTCCAGCCTTCCTCCATCTCAGCTGCCCACTCCAGAACAGGTCCTACCCCTTCTCCAGAGCCCACCCCTCCTGCCTCTTACAGGAGCCCAACTCCAAGCCCAGTATCAGTTCTGCGGCCCCCAGTACTCAGTGACGTGCTCTGCGTGGAGACTGGAGTTTTGATCATTTATGCCTTACTCTGCGTGGACCATGAACTCTCTGAAGATACCTGTGCCTTGCTCCCTTTGTCTTTTTCTCAGTGTCATGAGTCACAGGTCCCACCCAAGCTGGCTATTTAGGGAATTATTGATTAGCCCCAGATTAGTAGGGAAGCAGTACTTCACTTGGGCATAAAAATTTATTTCATAAACTGTGGAACCTTTTATGTTGCGTTTGATGCAAATACAGTCTTTGGTTTTTTTTCATTCTTTCCATCTTCCCCTGCCCCCACAGTTCAGTGTTCCCCTGGACATTTCTACAACACCACCACTCACCGATGTATTCGTTGCCCGGCAGGAACATATCAGCCTGAATTTGGAAAAAATAGTTGTGTTTCTTGCCCAGGAAATACTATGACTGACTTTGATGGCTCCACAAACATAACCCAGTGTAAAAGTAGGTTTCTTTCTAAAGCTTTTCACAGTCTTGAGTAACAGGGCAAGTGCCTGGGTCCACCTGGGGACGGGGGGTGGCAGGGGTCCCAGGTTCATTCAGAACCATGTAGACACTGTTAGCCCAGCTCCCGGCTCTGCAGAACAGCTCTGGAGGAGAACAGAGCTTGACCCCTCGCTACTCACCTTTATTGATCTTGGCTACTTCTCCAGGCACATACACAGGCTGTACTTGCTGTAATTTCCTCCTGGCGGCAAAATTTCAGTCCAGCCCAGTTCAGCAAGCATTGTCTGAGGACCTGTTATATGCCAGGCACTCCAAGCAGAATAAGTCTCTGGCCCTGCAGGCAGCACAGGCCTGGGATTGCAGAGGAGGAAGCAATTCACTCTGTCTGGAGAGATGAAGAAAGGCTTCTGGAGGGCATGAGAAGGTTTTGATGGGGAGGGTGGAGGAGAGCAGGAGAAAGAGATTGATGCACAAGAGAGCAGCTGGGAGGAAGCACAGACTCAAAAAAGTAAAAGGCTTTTGGGGAAGAAGACACAGGCCATGACAGAGTGACGACTGTGTTGTGCCTTCATGACTCATGGCATTTGCTCTTCCAGACAGAAGATGTGGAGGGGAGCTGGGAGATTTCACCGGATACATCGAATCCCCAAACTACCCAGGCAATTACCCGGCCAACACTGAGTGTACGTGGACCATCAACCCACCCCCCAAGCGCCGCATCTTGATTGTGGTCCCTGAGATCTTCCTGCCCATAGAGGACGACTGTGGAGACTACCTGGTGATGCGGAAAACCTGTGCGTCTCACTCTCTGCTCCCCTCCCCTTCTAAGGGCATCCGGGAAGCCTGACGGCATGTTCCCCAGCTTTAAATGTGAGAAGCAGACCAAGAAGGTCACCTCCATATTAGAACAGAGATGGGACATGAATTTGCAGAGTTTGCCAAGAAACAAAATTTAGACAAAAACCACCTGTTGAAGTCTCTTGCTGAGCCCCAGAGGTAGTGATCCTGCAGGTCAGCCTTCCCCTCTGTGCTCACTGGGACCTCTTCCACGAGGACACAGAGTCAATGAAGCTCGTGCAGGCCTGGCCCCAGACACTTGCCTCACCCTGGCAGGCAACTCATGGCCTGGGGACTGACCAAGGCCAAGGCACAGTCCAGCCAGGAGGGACCCTCCTCTCATCCTGACATGTGACTCAGTGTCCATAAAGGGACGCTGCCATCCACACAGCGTAAAGGCAGTGTAGTGAGTGGGCTCTGCAGCCAGACAGCCTGGATCTGAATCCCAGCTCACCTCTTATTAGTTCTGTGATCTTGGACATACATTCTGACTCTTTCTGTGCCTCAGTTTCCTCATCTGTTAAAATGGGGGTAATAGTTGCTACCTCCTACGGTTATGACCCTGGGCGAGTTCTTAATCTCTCTGTTAATGAGGTAACAACTGCAGCCACTTCCTATGGTTTATGGAGGGTTAAGTGAGATAAAGTCCATAAAGTGCTCAGCACACTGTCTGGTCTTGGGAAGCTGCAGTAAATGGCGGTGATTAATGCTAGATTACAGCAGGTCAGCTCTGGAACGTGAGGGCCCTCTCCTCAGCTTCTGCAGCGAATGCTGTGGCCCGGGCTGCTGCTGTTTGCAGAGCCTTGGGCCTTTCAGTTAGCTTTCCCTGGGGGCCCACAACCACCAGCTGCATCTACTCTATTTCCAGGACTTTGGCCCTTATGATGGCTCAGCGGGGCCTGAAGAGCTCTTGAGCGTAACTTGTTTTATGGCGTGAGCGTTTGAAAAGATGAGCGTTCACTGTCTGCCTGCGCAGTGATGAGTCTTGAACCCCACCCCCCTCCAATTTCCCTTGGCAGCTTCGTCCAATTCTGTGACAACATATGAAACCTGCCAGACCTACGAACGCCCCATCGCCTTCACCTCCAGATCGAAGAAGCTGTGGATTCAGTTTAAGTCCAATGAAGGGAACAGTGCCAGAGGGTTCCAGGTCCCATACGTGACGTACGATGGTAAGCACTGTGAAGCTCAGGCTGCAGAATGTGGAAGGAGCTTCTCTGCTTTGAACAGAACCGACTTCTGGGCCAGCTGGTGGATTGCTGACAAGCACACATGCTCAGAAAGGCAGGCAGGATAAGGAGAAAGGACATTGCCGACTCACAAGTGCCAAATTTTAAACAGGCATTTGAGGACACATAGTAAGTGCTTCTAAAACATGAAAAGATGTTTTAGAAAATAAATAAGAGTGAGCAGAGCTTGGTGGGTAAGAACATGGTGTTGGAGTCAGCCAGCCTGGGTATAATCTCTTCTGTGACTTTGTGTATGTTACTTAGCATCTCTAAGCCTCATTTTTTAAATGTGTAAATGAGGATAATCATTAGACTTAATGTGAGATTCAATGGGATCATCTATAAAGGACTTGGTGCAGTGCTCAGCACATAGTAAATGCTCAGTGAATATTAACTTATTCTGACTGTGGCTTTTATTATATGGAATCCTGAGTAGGGGGAAAAAGACCCAAGTTCTGGTCCTGTCTCTGCCACTAGCTCACTGTGCGATTTTGGGCAAGTCAGATGACTTCTCTGGTTTCATTTTCGTTTTGTTAAATGAAGAGGTGGTCCATCTGAGCCCTGGGGCCCTACCCAGCTCTGAGACTTGGTCAACCTCATAGTCTTGGAGGACCTCACAGTCTAGAGGGGGAAGAGTCATCTGTTCATTCATGAATTTATTCATTTATCTATCCAACAAATATTTAATAAGCCTACTGTGCCAGGCACTGGGTTAGGTGCTAGAGACACAAAAAAGTACATTGTCATAGATGCTATAACAGGGCACATACAAAGCTCTGAGTGAGCACAGAAGACAGGGTAGCGGTTAACTTTGCATGGGTTTTTAGAAAGAGCAGAGCAAAGTCTCAAGAAATTTGGGTCTTGAGAGAACATATGAGTTTTCTTATAAGTGGGAGGAAGAACATTCAGGAAGAGGGAACGACATAGACAAAAGGATGGAGGACCTGGCATGTTAGGGACTGATGAACAGCCTGATTTGGCCAATTGGTAGGGTGCATGAGGCTTAGCAGTGAGGAATGGGATTAGAAGGTGGTGAGGTTGGGCTGTGAAGAGCCTTGAGTGCCAAGCTCAGAAGGGTAGATCTAATCTTACAGGGAGCCCTTCAAGGTTTTTAGGCAGACAAGTACCAAAAGGAGATGGGTTTCCTAAAAATACTTCACATGGTTTATTTCTACCATGTGACACAAGCTAGAATCAGCATCCCTGTGCCTGAAGCCACGTCAAACACCCAAGACGAGGGCTCTTAGTCTCGGACTCCTACGTGGACACAGATGCCTCCCACGTGGCTGTGCTGAGAGAGACAGAGCACCTCACCTACCTGAAAGCAGCCAACGGACAACCTCCCCCATCTGGAAATCAGGATGGAACCAAAAGCCAATGAGACTCTAAAATAAACATCACCAAAGCTCACACACTTCAGTCTGGCTGTTCTCAACCCTGCCTTTGTGACACACGAAAACGTCTGGGCATTTGTTTTATTCAAGAAAAGAGTTGTAGCTTGAACCCAGGGAAATTACACATAACCCTGGTTAGGCCCATGAGAGTGTGTCTTGCACAGCAGAAAATAGTTGAAAACTGCTGCTTTGGCCACTGGGCAGGCAGAAGCCCCAAGGTCTTCACTCAGAGCCTATTTAGTCTTTTTTTCCAACATAAATCTCAGACAAGTTTGATATCTTGTTTCCAAGCCCAGAAGAATAGAAATCACATTTCAAACGGGCAGGCGAGGCTGCTACAGACCAGCCCCCTGACCACTGGAGAGCAGGGAGAATTGTAGTGGTGGCTGACATGTCCTGAGCATTACTGAGTACCAGGCATGCGCTCAGTGCTTTCGACGTGGCACGTTCCTCACAGTCACTCTATGAAGTGGACACAGTTCTTTCCTGATTTTTCAGATGAGGCCACTCAGGCTTAGAGATTTACCAAACTGGCCCAAGGTCACAGCAGGACAAAGTTGCAGAGCTGGGACCGGCCCAGGTCTGTGGGACTCCAGGGCCTGAGTTCTTACCTACAACATTTGACTGCTTTTCTCATGACACTTGGAGCAGGTGAGGAGACACAGGAGTTCTTAAAAGCAGAGGAGCTATTTTTTAACAGACAGCAGTCTGGAAGCATTTAGTGTGGTGGCAAACAGCTCTGAGTCCTCTCTTACACCAGGACGCAGCACAGCAACTGGCGTGCCTAGTGCTAAACTTCCACCATCAAGATGAGCTGACTCTCTGCGGTAGAGACTCTCCAGCAGAGGAATTCCAGATAAAAAACTTGTACCCAGGGGCCAGTCCTGTGGCATAGCGGTTAAGTCCAGCGTGCTCAGCTTTGGCAGCCTGGGTTTGTGGGCCCAGATCCCGGGCACAGACCTACACCACTTGTCAAGCCATGTTGTGGTGGCGACCCACATACAAAATAGAGGAAGATGGACAGGACACAGATGTTAGCTCAGGGCTAATCTTCCTCAAGCAAAAAAAGAGGAAGATTGGCAATGGGTGTTAGCTCAGAGTGAATCTTTCTCACAAAAAAACCCATCAAAAACAAAACTTGTACCCATACTCATATTTTATATCGACTGAAATAAAAGAACAAGAAGAAAGATACCACATGAACAGAGTACCAGTGATATTGTACATGTATTAAATTAGTAATTATGAGTATTATACTATTAATTTTCATTTACCATCCCTTGACTAGGAGCAACTATTCAAGAACTCCTCCCACACAGTTCCAGTGATGTTCTTATGGTTTGTTAGGTTTTGTTGCACATGATATGCACACAAAGTCATTTTTTTCTGCCTAGAATTTGAAAAAGATTGCGTTCTGCATATGCTTGATTTGAATTACAACTATAATAAATAGGCTAGACTTTGAAAGGGGGGATTTGGTTTACATCGTGTGCACTGCATTTAATGTGTATGTCAGGACCAAAAATTATTTGAGAAAGCAAACACAGCTTTCTTCCCTCCCCAGTCAGACAAATTCTCCCCGCCCCCAAACTCATTCAAAAAAGAGGAGAGAAGAGTCTTGCTAGGTGGGTAAGAGGATTGATTGTTTTACATAGTACAAGGACAGAGAGGGGGAAAAAAAGGGAGAAAAGTGGAGAGGGAGAGAAAAGCCAGGAGCCCAGATGAGCTCACCAGGGAGTGAGTACAGACAGAGAAGAGGAGAGACCCAAGCCCTGAGCCCTGGAACCTCCCACAGTAAGAGGTCAGGGAGAGGAAAAGCAAAGGATTCTCTGAGGCCAAAACCAGTGGAGGAGGAAGAAAACCAAAGAGCATGGTGTCCTGGAAACTGAGTGAAGAAGCGGATCAAGAAGAGGTGACCAGCCAGGTCAAGTGCTACTGATGCCTCAAGGACGATGAGGACTGGGAGCTGACCTTTGGGATCTAGCAACATGAGGGTCACTGGTGACCTCGACAAGCAGTTTTGGAGGAGTGGCGGGGGCCAAAGCTGACTGGATTGGGTTTGGGAGGGAAAGAAAGGAGAAGAATTGGAGAAAATGAGTGTTGACAATTCTTTCAAGAGTTTTGCTGCAAAGGGGAGCAGAGACGTGGGATGGAAGCTGGAGGGAGAAATGGGATCAAGAGAGGGATTTTTTTGGATCAGAGACATAACAGCATGTTTGCATGCTGACGGGAAAGACCAGTAGAGAGAGAAAATTTTATCATGTAGGAAAGAAAGGGCAAAATTACTGGAACAATGCCCTAGATTTGGTGAGAGAAGATGGAGCTGGTGAGCAGAGTGGAGGCATGGGCCTTGGCTAGTGCATGGAGGGTTCACCTGAGGGAAGCGGGAAGGAAACATGGGTGCAGATGCTGGTAGGTGGGGGGTGGAGGAGTCTGTGGAAGTTCTGATTGCCTTCTTAGTATCAGAGTGGTCATTGTTCTGATAGCAGTGACAGAAGGGGTGTCTCTCAGAACTTATAAAAAAAAGAAAGAAAGAGTGAGTTTGGAAATAACTAAACCATACAAATGCAAAATATGTCCTTTATTCCAACAGAGGATTACCAGGAACTCATTGAAGACATAGTTCGAGATGGCCGGCTCTATGCATCTGAGAACCATCAGGAGATACTGAAGGTGAGTACAGACCTGAGGTGGACATGGCAGTCACCCACAGAGCTCCCCAAGCACCGCTGAGAAAGGTTTTCTTCTTGTTGCACACTGCCGCCTTTCAGACATCGAGCCTGCTCTGGGCTGAGGTCAGTTTTATATCTTCATGAGACATAATTAAAAAAAAATCCAGGTAGCTGTTTTCAGTGTTGTCAAGTGAAGTTGTATTTTTTTTTTCTTTCTTCTTTTTCTCCCCAAATTCCCCCAGCACGTAGTTGTATATTTTAGTTGTGGGTCCTTCTAGTTGTGGCATGTGGGATGCCGCCTCAATGTGGCCTGACGAGCAGTGCCATGTCCACGCCCGGGATCTGAACTGGCAAAACCCCGGGCCATCAAAGCGGAGTATGCAAACTTAACCACTCAGCCACTGGGCTGGCCCCTTCTTCTTTTTTTTTTTTTTTTTTAGGAAGATTAGCCCTGTGCTAATATCTGCTGCCTATCCTCCTCTTTTTTGCTGAGGAAGACTGGCCCTGACTTAACATCCATGCCTATCTTCCTCTACTTTATATGTGGGGCTCCTACCACAGCATGGCTTGAGAATGGTGTGTAGGTGCACCCAGGATCTGAACTGGGGAACCCTGGGCTGCCAAAGCGGAATGTGTGAACTTAACCGCTGCACCACTGGGCCGGCCCCTGAAGTTGTACTTTTTAATTTGGAAATGGGTGGGGAAGTAGGGGAAAACTTGTTTACCATAAATCCAAGCCAACCACAAATAGTATTTTCATGTGCATTCTCCAAATAGTTGAAGATTCTTGGCTCCTTGTTTATCCTTCAAGCCTAAAGTTTACCAAATTTTAGATACTTACAAGTAATTATCAATAAACACTTGCCAAAACACTAACCTTATAGATATTCCCAAAATTCCAATGTTGCCTCTCATCTGGTTTAGAAAAAGAAAACAGTTTTTTATATATTAAGTTTTCCTTTATAAAAGTAATACGTTTGTTGTAAATAACTAGGAAAAATAAAAACTGAAAAAAAAGATAAAAATCAGAGGAAACAATTTTCACAACGAGTTTTTCAGCTAGTCAACCTATTCCCTAACAGTGGGTCATTAGAGTTCCATTGGCAAAATGTCATAATGTTTAAATATTTTGGCCCAGTAACAAAAGTTCTGTTCTTTTCAGGATAAGAAACTGATCAAGGCTCTCTTTGATGTCCTGGCCCACCCCCAGAACTATTTCAAGTACACAGCCCAGGAGTCCCGGGAGATGTTTCCAAGATCCTTCATCCGATTGCTACGTTCCAAAGTGTCCAGGTTTTTGAGGCCTTACAAATGAGTCTGCCCACGTGCCACTCAGTACAGCGTTTGGCCTGTGGGCTGGTGGGATGCAGCCGTCTGCTTCTGCAGCCAGCATAGTCGGATATCCTGCCTCCAATAGCAGTGACTCGTTAGAGTTCAATTTTTATAGATAATACAGATATTTTGGTAAATTGAACTTGGTTTTTCTTTCCCAGCATTGTGGATGTGGACGGAGGATGGCTTTGAGGTGCACCTGCTTCCCATTGCTGAGGGCGGAAGTCTTGGCTCCATCAAGGGCTGGCTGAGCTGGACTTCAGTCAGCTCAGGTGAGACTCGCCTGTCCTTCTTGGTTCTCACTCCTCCTCGAGGGGCTGTGCTGGAAAGGAGGCCACAGGAGGGGCTGCCTTGTCTGAAACTTCAGCCTCCTCCAGCCCAGCCCTCCCTAAGGAAGCCCTCTGCACCCGGATGCAGGCTCTGACCAGGCAGAGTGAGAAAGGAGGAAGGGAAGGAGGGAGAGCCCTCCAGGTGCCACCCACCCACCTGAGACCGGGGAGGACTCTGTTTCTCCACAGTCTCTCCAGCCTGTGTGACCTAAGTTTGATCCTAGGAGCTTGAGTTCTAAGCAGCGATCATTAAAAATACTTAGAGCAGAAAGAATTAGAAATAAAAAGATAAAAACTAAGCACTTCCACAGACATAATAATGCAGGCCTATTGACGGCCTTCCTGGTTGCCAGCTTCCCCCTGTAGCAAGTGCACGTGCTGGTTAGCACCTCCAGCTGTGCCTTTAGACCCTCTGATGGGCACTGCATTTGGGCCTCAAGGGCTCAGCTCAGATGTGATCTTGTTGGTGGATAAAGATCTTCTACCATCGTGAAAAGGAGATTTCACAAACCCTGAGTCAGTACTGCCCAGAGTCTGGCTCCCACGGTGGGCTTCCCACCACAGGGCGTCCAAGGTCCGGGAGGACGTGGTGCAGAGCAGCCTGTCAGGGCCACCTTCCTTCCTCACTCTCCAAGGTCAGAGACTGTGTCAGCTTGGAGGACAGGAGCAGTGCCACTAACCGTGGTCTCACTCTCTTCATGGTCACACCACTGCCGGAAGCAGTGACACAGATCTGGCCTCTAAGTCCCGCAGAATCATCTCACTTTTGGTCAGCACAGGGGGGCCTCACAATCACTTTCTCCCATGGGAATTTAAATTTTCAATATTATTGAATTTTTAAAAATTTAAATCCACAGGCAAAAATCTCATTACATTGAACAAAACAAATCCTATCAAACAAACTGCCATTTCCCTAATGAATGGGCTGACGACACACAACCATAGTCTTTTCTTATTTCAGTAAAAAACTAACTCTGTACACAATCAATTCTCTACAGCAGAGTACTAAAAAAGACAGTTAACAAATGTTTTTGTAGAAAACAAAGACTATTTCATTATTGTTGAACTCATTTTTCACCTTGTGGTTTTGTGTTTTTTTAGCCTGTTAGTAACACTGATTTCTTTTTAAGCCCTAATCAAATTTTTCTCCTTTATTTGGATGAGTCCTAAATACCCATTTCCAAATTTCTCTTCAAAACTTGGAACATCGTCATTTTTTAACATAATCATTAATGCAAGCACTTGGAGTTTATAATACTGGAACTTGGCCTACCTTTCTGAGTCTAATCGTAAGATGAAAAGTCAAATGTAATATAACCTGAGTCAGTGACCTGACAGATGTGGAGGTGGATGAGCTGAACTGCACCACCTGTCCAAGCACGTTAGTAACTTTGTGCTCACGACTGTCTGATTCTGTATTGCTGAGTTCACAAGGCGGCTAGGGATGGGAGGACACAGGGGGTTGGAAGGAGCCTGGTCTCTGTGAAGCATCCTCCGGGAAAAGGCCCATGCACCAGAGCTGTGTTCCTGGTATGGGCACAAGCCGTGGAGGCCCTCTGGAAGCTTCCTCTTTCTACCTGTCCACCATCCTAAGAGATGCTATGGTCCTGCTGGAAGGCTGACTGACTGGGGCTACTGCTGCGACCTGCTGAACCAATAAATATTTATCGAACATCTGCTCTGTGCCAGGCAATGTTCTAGGCCCTGGGGATGCACAGTGACAAGATGGACAAGGTCCCTGCACTCATAGAGCTTACATTTTAGAGGGAGGAGACAGTGAACAAATAAATTACCATGAAAAGTATCAACTAGTAAGTGCTATGTTGAAAATTAAAACAGTTTGCTGTAACAGATCACTGCATGGCTCCTTTAGGTTTGGGGATTGTGGATGACTTCTCTGGGGAAATGATATTTCAACTGAAAACTAAATGGCAAGAAGGAACCAGCCTTGGGAAAATCAGGGGGAAGAGCATTCCAGAAAGAGGAAAGCCAAGTGCAAAGGCTGTCGGGCAGGAACAAGCATGGGGTGGATCACAGCCTAGTGAAAAGGCGAGTGGTATAAGATGGCGCTGGGGAACTTGACAAGGGCCAGAGCACATCGAGCTTTGGAATCCAGAATGAGGGGTTGGGCTTAATTCTAAAGACACTGTGAAGCTTTTGGAGGGGTTTAAGCAGAGAAGTGGGACGATCTGATTTATGTTTTTAAAAGATAGCTCTGGTTACTGTTTGAAGAATGGATTTTAGAAAGTAGGCATGGAGGCAGGGAGCCACTAACAAACTACTGCAACCAGCCGAGCAGTCATCCAGTGGGAGATGAGGTTGTCTGGGAGAAGGTGGTGGTAGCGGAGAGGAAAGAATAGAAGGATTCTGGATGTGTTTTGGAGGAAAGTCAACAGAACTTCCTGATGAGGACTGGATGGAAGGGGAAGGGAAAGATAGCAATTAAACATGACTCCTAGCTACTGGAGCAACTGGTGGATGGAGAAGACTGCAGGAGAAGCAGGTTTGGGACAGTTTTAAAATATGTCCACAAATTCTTTGATGCACCTTCCATGGAAAGTTGGGGGTCTTCTTCCCCTCCCCTTGAATCTGGGCTGTGACTACTTGACCAATATTATATGACAGAAGTAGAGTTTTACCAGTTCTGGACCCACAACTTAAGACACTGGCAATTTCCACTTCCTTTCCTTGGGGAACTCACACTGGGAACTCTGTCACCATGCCTTAAGGAAGCCATAAAAGCTTGTGGAGAGGCCATGTGAAGAGGAACCAAGGCCCCCTGCCCACAACCCAGATGAGCTCTCAGGTGACAGCTAGCAAAACTTGCTACATGAGTGAGCCATCTTGGGAATGGATTCTCCAGGTGATGCTTCCTGGAGCAGTCCCCGTTGAGCCATACCCAAATTACAGACCTGTGAGCAAAATCAATGATTATTATTGTTGTAAGTCACTAGGTTTTGGGTGATTTCTTGTGCAATAATAAGACACTGGAAAAGAAGAGATTGAGAGTTCAGTTTGGGCCATTCTAAGTATGAGATGCCTATTAGACATCCAAATGGAGAGTTCAAATAGGCAATTGGTTCTGTGAAGCCCCGGGAGATGTCAGGGCTGGAATATGAATTTTAATGTCACAGAATAAAGACATGAGACTGGTTGAGGTCACTTCAGAAAAGTATGTAGGTGAAAGAAGACCAGGGAGCTCTGAATCCTGGTATTCCCTGTGTGGGCTCAGGGACCAGGACTCAGAGGAGCTGCTTATGAAGTGAATGGGGAGAGGTCAGAGCGGAGCTTCAGCTTCCCTCCAAGAGAGCTGGTTCTGTGGGAGAACTCTGAGTGGGAGTGGAATCTGTACAAGTCCTTCCTTGCAGCTGTGGCTACTGCTCCTGAGCCGTTTACTGAACTGCTGCCTTCATGGATTTAGGAACGTTTCCCTTGAATTTCCAATGCTAATAAAAGAGTGTTTGCCTTTTCACACTAACAGATGATTAGTTTCACTTTGGAAAATTGCTCCCTCTGAATCATTCTCTGAGCTGTTACGTGTGTTGTCTGTAGGCACTCACTGGATTTAGGTTTGCAGGTGACTTTGTAATTGTCATGTGGTAACTTGGGAAAGGCGGTGGCTGCAGCGTGCAAAGCAAGGACTCACTTGCCCTCGGGCAGATCTTTGCAGGAAGGTGCTCCATGGCTGTTGTCTACTGCAGAACTGCTGCAGCCGGTGGGCCTGTGCACTGGGAAACCCAGGGGCCCACACCAGACCCAGCCTCGATCTTCTCGTCAACCCAGAAGAGATGCCTCTGCCTAGGGCTGCCAGCATCTCTGCTTCCTTTCACACAGCAGGATGGGTCCTCAGAGCCCTACTCAAGTCTACATCACTCTTAGCCAGTGTTTGAGAGGCAAATGGATTAAGTGAGACTGGAGTAAAGCAGCTCCTCATCACGTCGAGGAAGCCTTGTTACCTATGGCCTTCTTGCTAGGCAACCCATCATCTGCCTCCAAATCCAGGTCCTGGGCCTGGCCAGTAGATATCCATCCACGGGAAGTTAGAAGCCTTGCTGAGGCTCCCTTTCTGTGATGTCTTCTACTCCAGGGCTTGTGAACCCAGCTCAGGGGAGTCCTGAGTATGTGTGGTACCCTGCTTCCTTCTCCCTTCAGGCAGTCCTGATCAGCCTGCGGGAGACCATCCTCAGGGGCCTGAGGGGCCTGTGATTGACAGCCACAAAGACATAAGTACGCAGCAGGGATCACTTTACAGTGAACACAGTCGGAGCAAAATAGATTTAGAAAATAAAACCACTCTCATTCACAGGCAGGTCGCTCTAGCTAAATAAAACAGATTCAAATTAAACCCACCTACTGCAAACAATGATAATAACTCAGCATTGCTCGGTTTTCAGAGTATCTCATTAGGGGAATGTGACTACAGACCTTAGTTACCACTAACTCTTTGTTATGTGTTTGTGCATTCATTCATTTATGCAACATATTTATTGAGGGCTTTCTGAGTGCTAGGTATTGTAGGAGCTGGTGATACTGTAGTGAGCAAAATGCTCTTGTGGAGTTTAGATTCTAGTCGGGGGAGACAGAAATAAATAAACATCTACTGTAAAGTCAAGTGTGACAACTGTTAGAAAGAAAATAAAGAAGGGCGAAAGGATAGAGAATGAGGAGGCAGTGGGAGGGAGTAGCTATTTTCGAGAGGTGAGCTCATCATTGGAGTCATGAATCCACTGGCTCTTTAAACCAGGCCTGGCAGCCCTGGCCCTGACAAGCTCCGTAACTCACCCAGCAAGAATCTGACATTTCATCTCATGCTGGGCTCGACAAAGCTCCAAGTTGTGAACAAGCCATTTTGCAATTCCTAGAACAAGTGCCACCTAGTGGTTGTAAACAGCCTTGGAGGTTAAATGCCCATAACTGAAGACAAACTATTACCCATGCGGTGTTGGGGACCAGGGCTGTGGTTTGAGAACTGATTGATTGAATGTTGTTTGAGACAGCCCACATTCATTCATTGATCGTTATGGTCTAGGCACTATGCTAGGCTGGATACAGATGGCTGAGACAGGAGGAAAAAGGAGCTGAAAGGATGAGGGGAGAAAATCACCCTCAAATTGTAATCTTGTGTAATTTTCACCACCTGTAGTTCCAGGGGCTGCCACACGCCCCTGACTTGGACCATCCGCTGATCCTATATTCTATTCTAGGACTGAAGGATAACTTTGAGGTACAGTTCGGAGTTTTCTGTCTTTCCCCTACACAGCACAAAAGGTAGAAATACAAACCTACCTCAAATCTGAGATTTGGTGCTGGCTTTGCCTTGTTATACACATTTTGTGGCTAAAAAACAATTAATAGTTGCTGAACAGGAAATGGAACCGATGCCCCAGGGAGGACAGACACAGCAATGTGTGGCTGACGTGACCATGGCCAGCAGAAGACTGTGGCGGTAAAGACTGTGAGCTCACGGTGAGTCCTGGCCGGGCCTGCTGTGCTCAGAACTCTGCAGCCTTGTGGGTAACTCACTGTGCGTGACCACAAACTGGCCATCGACACATGGTGCCAACGCAGCCGCGTGCATATGATGCCTGGCCATCATAGAAAACTGTGGAAATAGAGCAAAATGCTAATGGTGGTAAAGCAAGAATAGGTGCCCGGAACCCTATGTTAGATCCAGGTGACTTGGCTTGAGGAAGGCAGCTTCCAGCAGCCACATCAGGTACCAAAGCTGGAGTTGTGGGTGATGTGGGTGCAACTATAAGAGGCTTGGTAAACCCTTACTCAGGGCTTCCAATGAGGAACTGAGATGACTCAAGCAGCATCACTTACCCAATATCCCCCTTCTCTATTCCTAATGTACTTTTCTAAGAATGCATTCTCTCTGTTTATCTTAGTGAAGGATTTCTCTGAGATTTATGTTTCATAGTGCTCATTTTCTCCAAGACTTCCATTATGTCCTCTGCAGTATCTGGATTTGTATCCTAGAACTGCCACTAAATAGCTGTGTGACCTGGCACAAGTTAATTAACCTCTCTGTGCCTCAGTTTCCTCTTCTAATAAGATAATGATAGTATCTACTGGATAGGGTTGTTGTGAGAATCAAATGAGTTCACATGTCGAAAAATCGTGGAACACTGCCTGGCATGTAGCAAAGCCTCAATAAATGTTAACCAGTATCATCATTATTATTGTCTCCCACTTCTTGAGACCTGAGAAGTTAAATCCAAGATACATTTTTTAAATGGGTTCACACTCTGCTGGCTTCTCCCATTTCACTGAGACATAAAGTCCTTTAGTTATAGGCTTTCTAGTGGGATGTGTTGTAGGAACAGAAGAGTTACAGTTTAAAGCAGGAATGAAAGACTATATGAAAACCTCTACCCTCTTGAGCTGGCAAGGGTGAAAGGCACTTTTCCAATCTCCAAAGATGGTTTCTCTCAGGTCAGGAACAGCACTCGCACAGAGATCTGCCACCCCTTCATCTGTCCTTGTTTCCAGTCCTCAGCCATGATGTGTGAGGATGGCAATACTTCCTGCTGAGCCCAGAATCACACATTCTCTAGACATGTTTATCTCAAGTTGGATGTCTCCAGCATGGAAAAGTCCAACCTCTGACTCCAGGGAGGCAGGACTCAGCGTTATAGGCAAACAAAGCCAACGAAGACACTCTCTAGGGCAGGGTGTGAACTCGGGGCCCAAAAGGATACAGTGAGGAATTTGCACGAGCCCTCATACTCAGTGGGACAAAGTCCCTGAAGAGACGTGAGGACACAGGCCTGGCCAAGGTGGATCTGACCACCGTGCAGCATGTGCCTGGGAAAGCACAGAACTCAAGGTGAAACATGCTGATGGAGAGTAGACAGCCTGAAAAGAGAAATTCATCTTTTTAAAAATCATAAATGGGAGAGAAAAAATCCCGTAGTTCTACAGTAGAGAAATCAGGCAATGCCTTGATCAGATGATCAAAATTATCATCTCCACCAAAGGACAGATTGACATCATGTGGCTCTAGATACCCTGAGGAGAACATCACCTAGACAGTACTCAGGCCAAGAATGCATAACCTCAATCTCACTACAAAGAAACTTCAGTTAAAAAACAAAACGAGGAGTACTCTATTTTTAAAAAGGGAGGGGAGTTGAAAAACTTGCACACCAAAGAAACTAAAAAACATTTGTGTTTCAAAGGGCACCGTGAAGAAAATCAAAAAGCAACTCATAGAATGGGGTTTTATTTATTTATTTTTTTTGGTGAGGAAGATTGGCCCTGAGCTAACATGTCCTAGAGGAAGATGACAATCTTCCTCCAAAGCCCCAGTACATAGTTGTATATCCTAGTTGTAAGTCATTCTAGTTCTTCTATGTGGGGTGCTGCCACAGCATGGCTTCATGAGCAGTGTGGTGTGTAGGTCCACACCCAGGATCTGAACCAGCGAACCACAAGCCGCCAAAACAGAGCATGCGAACTTAACCACTCAGCCACGGGGGTGACCCCTGGGAAGAAAATTTTGCAAATCATATATCTGACTTGTAGCTAGAACTCTTACAACTCAATAACAAAAGGACAAATAACTCAATTAAAAAATGAGCAAAGGATCTGAATATTTTTCTAAAGAAGAAAACAAATGGCCAATAAGCATATGAAAAAGATGCTTGCCATCATTAGCCATCAGGAAAATGCAAATCAAAACCACAATGAGACACCATGTCACACCCACTAGGATAGCTATAATCAAAGAGACAGATAATAGGAAGTGTTGGTGAGGATGTGAAGAGATTGTAACCCTCATACACTGCTGGTAGGGATGTAAAATAGTGCAGCCACTTCGGAAAAGTCTGGTAGCTCCTCAAAAGGTTAACAGTTACCATATGACCCCCCCAGCGCTACTCCAAGAGAAATGAAAGTGTATGTCCTCACAAAAACTTTTGTGTACACAAAAGCTCACAGGAGCAGTAATCATGATAGCCAAAGGGAGGAAACAAATGTCCATCACCTGATCAATGGCTAGACAAAATGTGATCTATCCACACAATGGAGTATTATTTGGCCATGAAAAGGAATGTAGTCCTGATGCATGCTACAACATGGATGAACCTTGAAAACATTCTGCTAAGTGAAAGAAGCCAGTCACAAAAGACCATATATCATATGATTCTGATTTTATGAAATGTCCAGAATAGGCAAATCCATAGAAACAGAACCCAAAATTACCGGTTGTCAAGGGCTGGAGAGCATGGGAGGAAATGGGGAGTGACTGCTAAAGGGTACATCGTGTCTTTGGGGTGATGGAAATGTTCTAAAATTGATGTCATGATGGTTTTGCAGCCAGTAAATGTATTAAAAATCATTGAATTGTGCACTTTTATGTGGATGTACTATATGGTATATGAGTTATATCAATAAAACAGTTATTTTTTTTTAAAAAAGATGAGGGCTGTAGTCTTCAAAAATGTCAATGTCATAAAAGACAGAGAAAGCTGTGGAAATGTCCCAGATTAAAGGAGGCTAAAGAGACATGACAATCAAATACAACACCTGCCCCTCGCCCAGATCCTATACTGGAGGAAGATGTCATTAAGACCAGTATCTGGGGGTTGGTCCTGTGGCCGAGTGGTTGGGTTCGCGTGCTGCGCTTCGGCGGCCCAGGGTTTCACTGGTTTGGTTCCTGGGCGCGGACATGGCACCACTCGTCAGGCCATGCTGAGGCGGCATCTCACATGCCACAACTAGAAGGACCCACAACTAGAAATACACAACTATGTACAGGGGGGCTTTGGGGAGAAAAAGGAAAAATAAAATCTTAAAAAAAAAAAGACCATTATCTGGTCAACTGACAACACTGAAACGTGAACAGTAGTTTAGATACAAGTATTGTATCAGTGCAAATTTATGAAGTTTCTATCTGTACTGTGGTTATGTAAGAGAAATATTTAGGAAATATACAATGAAGTGTTATTGGTAAAGGGTCATAATATACGTAACTTATCCTCAAATGGCTCAGAAAAAAATTTGCGTATGCATATGTGTTGAGGGAGAGTAAATTATGATATAGCAAATGGAGTAAAATGTTAATAATCTAGTTAAAGGATGTACAGGTATTCTTTGGGTTGTTTTTATTTTTACAACTTTTTGTAAGTTTGAAATTATGTCAAAATAAAAAGCTTAAAAATCACAAATGACTTTTCTCTCTGGGCAGTGCAGAGCTCTGTGAAAAGAGGTCAATAGAGTGAATGCTGTGTGTGTGTGTGTGGTGTGCAAATGTCTGCATGCCTGAGCGTCTGCACACGTTCCACAGAGCGCTTAGCCTCTCTGCTGCCAGTTGCCCCAGGCCTGAGGCTTGCCCAGAGGGGACTACTGACCTCTCATCGTCACACCCAAGTGGCAGGCTTAGTTACTGCGGGGGGAAGGTGGTGGAACCCTCCACGCTCCTGAAGTAGACCGAGGTAACCAGTGCGAGCTGCCCTGCAGGCTTTCTCGCCTTTGGCTGGATCAGACACAAAGAAACGGGGAGCAGCGGGTCGGGCCTAGGCTGTGCGGCATGCTGAGGGGCTTGCCATCTTCCGAGGTCTGCTTCCAGACTGAAGAGCCCCCAGTGGCCTCTGGACGGCAGCTGTTTCTCCAGGTTCTCTACCTATCTCTGAGAGGGGAAGGAAAGAGGAAAAGGACTCATATTTATTGAAGGCTCATTTTGTGCCAGGCTCTGTGCCCTCCATGTTATCTTATTTAAACCACACAGAGCCCTGCCAAATGGGTAAACTGAGGCTCAGAGAGCTGCAGTAACTTGGCCAAGGTCCCACAGCAAGCAAGGAGCAGAGCTAGGATTCAAAGCCAAGCCTAGATTCCCCTCTTTCCTCCAGACACTCTTGCTTCAGATACCGAGGTTTTTTCCCTCCTTTCTCTCCTCCTTGCTATCCAACTTGAGGTCACAACCTGTCCTCATCCCAGGAAGTAAAACAAAATAATTGCTGACAGGAATGGATCCAAAAGACCCATCCAACTTTGCAAAACACCAACGGGGCTGCCATCAGCCCGGTTTTACAAGGCTAAGATGACGTTGGGAATCACTCTGAAGGAAGAAGACAGAAATATCTCTTGTCCTTGCTTCAACCTGCCAAAGTAGACACAGTCTTCAGGGCTGGGTGCCAAGCTACGAGCACTGTGTAGCCAGAGATCCTGGCACACATATGGTACCTCGGAAGATGGCAAGGGACAGCTGTTTGAAGAATCTTCCTGCCAGAGGGAGTTGGGATGGTGGTGAGGAATTCAGAGGAGGAAGGGGACTCTGCAGCTACAAGGATGGGGGTAATGAGTGAAGGGGGACCCCGGGCAGCAGCCATCACTTCCAGGGTGTACCCAAAGGCAAAGTCAGAGTGAAATACACAAGTGGGACGGGAAGAAGGAAAAAAATTCCTTGGCAGTCTTGCCTTTCTCCTTTGTTCTTATCTCCTTTTCTGGCCTCCCAGCCCCGGTACTCATCCTGTACTCATGATGGCACTCTTCCCCATTCTCAACGGTCTCCCTGTTAGCTGAAGACCCAAAGGAGGCTTGCTGGGAGGAAGGTTTGTAAGCTTGGAGCTGCTGACAGTCATGAGACAGGAAGAGCCTGTCTACAGCGGCATTAGCTTAGAACTGAAACATTGTGATAATATCCTTTGAACCCTTGGATCCAGCCATGCCTGAAATCCCTGCACTATTTAATTACGGGAACCAAAAAGTTTGCATTTTTGCTTAAGAAATTTTCAACCAGGCTTGTCATTTATAATAAAAACAACAAATAAAATCCTAACTGGAACAGCATCAGCTTGTCTAGTACAATTTTCAAGGACAGATTCTCTGCAACAGCCAAGGCAGGATGCAGAGAACTTTAGAACAGAGCCACCGACATGATAAATTCAGAAGCCAGAAGCACCAGGGAGAGGAAGAGGCCAGCCCCTTCCTCAAGAGGCCTCAGTCCACGGAGGGGTCAGATGCTCAGGTCTGACTTGCATTGCCTGGAGCTCTGTAGGGCAGCTTGGAGGAGGCACAGGCCAGGGCCGTGACTTACAGGTTTTCCTGACGTGTCCCAGGGAATGATGGTAGCTGCCTTCTGCTGAGTTCTTACTGCATGCCACAATGTGCTGTGTGTGTTATTTCATTTAATCTTCACAGCAGCCCTGAGAGGCGGATGTGCTACTGGCATCATTTTCTAGATGAGGAACTGAAACTTAGAGTGGGGAAGTAACTTACTAGTCACACAGCCAGTAAGCAGCAGAGCAGGAATTTAACTCCAGTGTATTGGACTCCAAAACCTGTGCTTTTAACAACCATATTATACTTCTTTCAAGATGGGTCAATGGGGCAGGGAAGGTCGGCTATGTGGAGAATTAATAATGATCTTTTCTGTTGATACAGCCCTCCAGAGTCTACGAAGCCCCATTTTATATGCAATCTCACTGCATCCACTTTATAGATATGGAAACTGAGGCTTAGAGGTAGGAAGTGACTTGCTCAAAACCATTTGGGCAAACTAGATAAACTGCCCAGAGGTGATGCTCCTCAAATGAAGGCAGCCGGTCTGCAGTCTGCAGAAACTCAGCGTACGTGCAGGGGAGGGCTTGGCCTCACCACACTGACCCATGCTTGAGAGCAGTGATGGTATCAGTCTGGCTGAGGAAGAGCTCTGGGAGATGAGGGGACCAACTGGTGTTGTGGCCACAGATCCAGTTGCAGAACACAAACCCCACTACTGCAAAGAGCTCTGCATTCACAAAAAGATTCCCAGCTCCAGCCAAGGCCCTGTTTATTTTTCAGCAACACTTGATATGGACAAATTCCAGTTTGAGCAGAGACATTCAGCTTTCTGGTGTTCCCGGGGGGTGACGGGGACCTAGCTATGAAAAGAGCCCTTTTCTTCTGTTGGGCCATCCTCAGCAAAAAGGCTGCACACCTGAGCTGAGCCGCCTGAGGAGTGAGGAGTTGCAATCTACCTGCCTGGCCTCCTCTCAGAGGAAAGGAGCTGTCCCAGCCCTGGCCCCAGGGGCCCTCACTGTTGGGCCTGTCCTGATGCTTTGCCAAGCTCAGAGGTACTGTCCTAGAGAGACAAGGCAAGGCTGTCTTTTACCGTTCCCTGGGCGACTCGCGCCTGGAGGAGTAACCAGGCAGCGATCCAGGCGACAGGACAGAAGGGGCCAGGGCAGCCACTCTTGTTCACTGCTGGAAGTGTACCAGGGGACTAGAAGGTGAGCTGCAATCCCACTCCCACTTCCAGCCCTTGCTTCAGGAGACCCTGCCCTCCTGCGGGGGGTGGGGTGGTGGGGTGGGGTGGGGTGGGGGGAATCCAGCCCTGGGGCTTCCTTGAACCCAGGTGAGCACCCTCCAGACCTTCTGGATTTATTTTCCCACAAGCAGTCTGTGAGCTCTGAATCTAGGACAAGAGTTAAAGGCAGGAACGGAGGGAAAGAAGCAGGTTCATGAGGTCAAACTCAGCCCTTCCAGGTCTGGGAAGTTCAGCAGAGGTTCTGGGGGCAGATGGTCTGGGTTTAAAATCCCAGTTCTATACTTGTTTTCCTTGGGCAAGACCTTAACTTCTTGCCATATTTACACTAATATTCACTGAGCACCTTCTATGTGCTGGGGATTCAATGGTAAGCAAAAAATGGATTTAGTTGCTTTCTTGGAGCTTACAATTTGCGAAGGAGATAAATATTAATCAAACAACCAATAACATCCCCACCACTACCACCAAAAAAGGGAAACTCCAAGAGAGATACATAGTATACAATTAGGGAGAATTCACCCACTCTGGGAGGTCAGAGAAGACTTTCCTAAAGAAATGATAATGGGGCTGAGGTCTGTTTCCTGAACAGGGCAGGAGGGGCATTCCACATAGAGGGAACAGGATATTTAAAGGCAGGTCATTTGGCAAGAGGGTGAATGGCTCCTCCAAGGAACTGGAAGAAGGCTCCTGAGGCAAAAGTACAGAGTGGAGGTGGGGACAGACCATGCAAGAACGTGGGTCTTAAGAGCAACAGGAAGCCTTGTGTGGTGGTGTTAGCAGGGTGGTGAGATGATCACACTTGTAGTTTGAAAAGATTACTCCGGCAGCAGCCAACAAAGGATTGGAAGGGAACCAAGGCACACGGAGGAGACTGGTTAGGAGGTCTCAGATATTTGCCTGTAAAATGGGGATAATGATCATAGTATCTCTTAAGTGGTTGCCAGGATTCAATGAGATTCTGCATGTTAAGTCCCTGCATGTTCCAGTACCTGGCACACAGTAAAGGCTCAGTAGACGTCGTTATTGTTACTTCTCTTGGTTCTCTTCCGAGAGCAGATCTTTCTGCTTCACGCCTGCTCCTGTGAGAGAGGGTGGGAGAGGGTAGTCGTGGTGGTTTCGAGGGTGGAAATGCGGTTTGTCCTAAGTCACAACGTCGAGGCCAGAACCCAGGATACCTGAAGGCCCCATCAGAATGGCTGGAGAATATGAAAGACTCACGAAGAAAACCGGGTTCCAACTGCTCCCGGATGCATGACGGAGAGACAGGTGAAAGACCCTCCCAACGGTAAGCCCTAGAGTTGGCTGAGAAAAACGTGCTTTTCTGCCCAGTGTTCCGAAGAACGGGTGTAGGACCCGCACTCATGTGCAGTCCCGCGGAGGGGGGGCCCTCGCCACTCTTCAGCCCCAGGCTGACCCGCAGGCTTCCGCCCGGCCCTGCTTCCCGGGGCGGGCGCGGATGCCGGCCCAGGGCAGAGGGTTCCAGGAGGAGGGAGGGTCCCCGGAAGGCCGGCTCCAGCCCGCCCGCAGGGGCTGCCCCCTCCCCAGTCACGTGGCCTGGTGGGTGGCGACCGACCTGAAGTTGGAGAAATCCTGCCCGATCCCAACGCCGGAGTGCGCCGCCCGGGCTATGGGCGCTGGGGCTCCGGGACGGGGCGCGGGGAGGCGAAGCTGCAGAGCCGAGCAGCGGCGCGGACGGCAGGACGCGGGGCATGGCCCAGCTGTCGGTGGTCCCCGGGTCGGCCACGGCGTGGGCAGGTGAGGCGGCGGCGGCTGGGGTGGGAGAGGCTGCTCAGGCATTGGGCCCCCACACCCTATCCCGGTCGGGGGATGCAGGGCAGCCACAGTGGGAAGGGGCGGGGGGTAAAGCGGCCGAGGAATACCCTCGGCGCTCGGAGTCAGTCCTGCCAGCACCGCCCTTCTTCGCCGGTTCTTTCCCCCGGCCGGCCGGGCGAAGGACAGCTGACGCGGACGCCGACGTCCGGGAGCCGCAGGCCTAGCGGGGGCGCTGTGCCGGCCCCGCCTCCCGCGCGCGCACTGGCTGCTCCCCGTGACGTCACGCTCGGCTATAAAAGCCGCGGCGCGCGGCTCTCGCGGAGCTGGAGGAGCTCGAGGCTGAGGGCTGGCTGGGGGCGGAGGGTGCCGGGGACGCCGGGCCGCGAGCGCCTCTGCGATGTTTTACTCAGGGCTGCTCACCGAGGGCAGCCGCAAGGAGACCGACATGCGGCAGCAGCGCCGAATGAAGCAAGCTGTGCAGTTCATCCACAAGGACTCGGCCGACCTGCTGCCCCTGGACGGCCTCAAGAAGCTGGGCTCGTCCAAGGACACGGTGAGCCCCGCGGCCGCCCCCTCCTCGGAGCCCCGCGCGGCGCCCTTCGCGCGGCGCCCTTCGCGCTGCGCGCTCTCCCGGGCCGCCCCTTGCAGCTTTCACTGAGTCACCGGCACCCGCCCGCCGCTGTCCCGCTATGTATTGCTTTGTTTCGGGGTCCTCTCCATCCAGCGTCCCCCTGCTTCAGCTCTCAGGATTCCGTTGTCGCTTTTCTAGCTCGCGCGCCCTTCCCCTCTGCCGCCTCCCTTCGTGTGTCTCCCTCCCCAGCAGAAGAGACCCTGCCCTGCTTCTTACCCTCAGGTCGCCTTTCCTCCCCGTTATCAGCAATACCGAATTTGACTGCATGGGGCTTGAGCCTCGCAGGCTGCTTGGCCGGTCCTGTGACCCAGACAGAGGTCATTCCTAATGGGTGGAAGAAGGAGTGAACGAAGTGGGGAGCAGGGGTTGGGGCAGTCACCGTATCCAGATGCCCTTGTTGAATTCCTCTTCCCCCTATGCAAAATCTACTTGTCCGTTTGATTTTGGTCTCCTCTACCTTTGACCTTCCATCCCGAGAGGGGAGAGAGAAAAAGGGTCCAACGCGAAGATTTGCTGAACCGCAAGCATCTCTTCATCATTCTCATCCCTCCTCCTACCCCACTCCGACCCCCAAAGAGTGGATAGAGGGAGGAAGCCGGGCTGCTCCATCTCACCGAGCAGCTAACGTGGGGAGCTGGAGGTGGGGCTGGCGCAGGCTTTTTTCTAGCAGGGTTGTTCTTCGCGCTAAGAAGGATGAAACTCCAGCGCTGGAGGTCTGGGTTTAAAGACCGTGCTTAGCCTGTATCTATAGGAGGGAGAGGGATGGCTAAGGGTTACTAGTTTAAAGAACTGTATCTGACTTTCATGCCTCAGTCATTGTAGTGGTGCTGGGCCAAATGTATGTTTAGCTTTGTAGTTTTATGTGGAGTTTTCTTGTAGTTTACTTGTTTTCTTGAATTTCGGTCACTTTATTCATCCTGGCAATAATTTATGAAACATTAATCAAATGTCTATTAAATGAAGTAGATGCTCTCTATAATTTTTCCAGTAGTTTTTGAGCTTTTGGTATGTTTAATTTGGCAGGGAGAGGAGGGGTGTCAGCCTGGTTCGCTGAAATTGACATTTCCAGCCCCAAAATGTCTATGGAGGGCAGAGCTTTTAAATCCACTTCCTTTTTTTTTTAACAACTCTAATGACGCACAGATAACCAATATCAGATTTGCCCTCCCACATTGTGATAGACAATCATTTTTAGTTATTTATCTGCAGGGGATGTCTACTCAGTTATCTTGCTCTGTTTTTGCAAAGGTATTTTTCCTGCACAAGCCACAAGATAGTCAGTCTGATTCATGCTCACTCAGAGTGGTGAGTGACAAACATATTCCTAGAAAAGAGATAACTCTTCTTCAGCCCTTCTTTCACTTCAAAGCAGTCTAGATTCTTTTAGCAAATCAGGTCCAAGTCTTCTTACCTTCAGGCCAAAATAATCCTAGTTCCTGGAAGCCTCAGGAACCAATAAAGAGGGAAGTGTTAGGAAAATAAGTAAAATATGGAATGTTTTTCTTCCCTTCGTGCTGGATTTAAGACAGGATTGACCTTCGGTTGTCCTGGGCTGTCAAGGAGTTCCCCAGCCCTGAGGAACTGCCTCTCCATCCTTCTGCCTAGTTTTCCTTATACTACTACATCCTGTGTAGGAAGAATTCCATCTGCTTTTCTGACTCTGGTCTGTCTCAGCTGAGCCACACAGGAGCTGGTAGCATAGAACATAGCCAGTAGGCTGGAAGGACGAAGCATCCTCCAGAAGCAGGTTATTGCCATGGATGTGACACACAGCAGTTTACTGTGAGACTGTGAACCATGGTTCACACTTTCTCTCCCCCGCCATTGCCATGGGGTTGATATCCCTCTCTCGCTGTTCTCACACCTTTAATGTGCAAATGATTGCACAGAAGAGCTGGAACAGGTCGCAGAAGCCAAGGCAGACTGATAGGGCTAGGAGAGCTGTGTACTGGGGTGAGGTGGCGTGCTTAAGCTCTCTTGGAACTGATGCTGCTGCCTCAGTACAATCTTAGAAATAATCCTGGAAGTACTCTATTGCTTCACTTTATCCATCTGGTAGTGTAGACTGGTGCTGACTCAATTTTCTCTCACTGAAGTGAAATTTTGAGGATACCAAAATGATTGAATAGGTCTATGGAACAAGAAAAGGGAGGGGATGGCACCAGAGGGAGATGGGGGAGAGGACAAATTAGTTTCAGTTGACTCTGGGGTTTGTGCCAGTGAGAAGATTATGGGTTGCTTTCCTCATACTGGTGACCTATATTAGAATTATACTGCTGGGTTTTCTGAATTATCTGCCTTTTACCATGCTGTTTCTGTAACATTCCCTATTTGATACCAGCCTGCCAACCTTTTTGGATTGGCAAAGAGCATCTGCAGGCAATCAAATGTGGTCTTGTTCTCTTGGCCCCGGGGAAGTGCCTTTGCCCTATTCTTGTTTGTGTGTAGCTGGCTGCTACAAAGTCTGCTGTGGAAATTAATCTTATTTCTCATGTCTGGCTCTCTTATTTTGTTTATCCTTTCATCTTGTGCTATTTTCTTCTATATTAGATTAAGAACAAAAATCAGAGATATGAGTGAATAATATTTTATTTTATTTTATTTTTTTAAGTTAATGAGACTGGAGGAAAAAAAAATCTCCACCCTTGGAGTTTTGTCACTTGTAATTTCTTTTATCTTACTACCAGGTTCATAAATTTTCTTCTCTTTGAGGTAAGAACTTTTTTATTTTTAAGAACAGTTCTGTCATGGGATAATATGCTGTCTTTCCTATATGATATTACTGACCATCAAGCCTTATCCTTACTTGTCCAGGAATAGAGAGAGAGCTTTGCTTTCCTATCTGTGATTGAGTCTGCGTATAGCCAAATACTTTAGCAAAACTCACTAGAATTAGGAATGAAGGCCAGGGGAAGGATAGTAGAACACAGCAAAGCCAACTGACCGTGAAATGACTAGCCCTGTACTCTGAGTATCTGATCTACCTAATCAGAATCTCAGTCAGTTAGAGCAGGCCTGGTTGGTACCCTAGAGATTCATAATGCCATAAGACATTCATAATGCTGCAGGTTTTGGAGCAGAGAACTTTGAAGCCTTAGAAGAGGAGCATGAAATACCAGTAAAACACCAGGATCTGGTACAAACTGAAGATTTTCAGAACCGTGATTGCCTCCTAATTATAGCAAACATTATTTGAACACCATTCAAGACACAACACTAGGTGCTAGGAGCATAAAGAAGAAGATAGCAAAGTTTCCCTCTACAAAAAGTTTATAGATTGGGGGAAGGATAGGTCAGATTAGTTAATTTATTTCACAAATATTTATTGGACACTTATTACATGTCAGGCAGTTATCTAGGCATTGAAGATATAATAGTGAACCAAAACAGAGTTCCAGCCCTCATGGAACTTGCATTCTTGTTGGGGGGAGAAGGAAGAAAGTAAAAACAAGTAAATATATATCAGGTAGCAATCAGGGCCATGGAGAAAATAAACCAGGGTAAGGGAAATAGGGAGTACAGTGACCAGGGTAGGGTGGAGTGGAGCCTTCTGTTATATATAGGGTGGTCAGGAAAGGCCTCTCTGATAAGATTACACTTTAGGAGATACTGAAGGAAATGAGAGAGCAAAATATCTTGGGGAAGAATATTCTAGGCAGAAGGAACAGTAAGTACAAAGGCTTGAATTGTCAGTGTGCTTGATGTGATTGAGGAACTGGAAGAAGGTCGTTGTGGCCAAAGCAAATGAACAGGGAGGAGGGTAATAGGAGATAACATCAGGGAGGTGGTAGGAGGCCAGACTATTTAGGGCCTTATAGGTCATTATACAGATATTTGGCTTTTACTCTGGTATGGGAAACCAGAAGACTGTGCAAAAGGACGACGTGACTCATTTTATAAAAAGATTGCTCAGACTACTGTACAGATTAGGCTGTAGAAGGGCAAGAGTGGAAACCCGGAGACTGATTAGGAGGCTGTTATACAGTACCCCAGGGGAAGGATGAAGGTGGCTCAGAACAGTGTAATAGCAGTGAAGGGGACAAGAAAAGATCAGGTTCTGGATGTATTTTGAAGACAGATCTGACAAGTTTAGTTGATGGATTAGATTAAGGGTCTGAAAGAAAGAGTAGTCAAGAATGACCTCAAGGTTTTCGATCTAGCAATTGGAAGAATAAAGTTGTCATTTACTGAAATGGGTAAGACCACAGGAGGAGCAGGTTGGGGATAGGGAATAAGAATCAGGAATTTGATTTTTGAAAAAGTTAAGTTAGGGATGTCTGTTAATTAGTCAAGTGTAGTTGTTGAGTAGACAGTTCCACAAGAAGATAAATAACACCACCAGGAAGCCTATACTAGTTGCCAAGGTGTTACAGTCAATAATAGCTAGAAGAGTTCAGTAGAAAAAGTGATTATTTTGGCCTGGTGTGACAATAGTGATGGAGACCAACATCTGATTACAGCTTCATCATTCTCTGGTGAGTCAACTGACTATGAGGTGGTATGGAGAGGAGGCTGCCTCCAGAGTTTGCCTCATGAACCTCAGAGTAAGCAGAACTTAATAGCTTATCTGGTCCAATTCCCTGCCTATGTGTGAATCCTTTCTAACACAAGTACAGCCTGCCATGGGCAGCTGAGAAACCACCGTCTCAGACCAATCCACAAAGCAGATAACAATCAAGAATAATGCTGTTCTCTTTGAAATAACAAGTCTGTTGGGTCACAAGGCAAAGGCAGAGAGACAGAACACAGAAGGCCTGGGGCAATGTGACACCCTGCCTTAGGTAGATTCCCGTGTGTTTTTGAACAACTGCAAACCCAAGGACAACCTGCCTATGTTCCCATGGGGTAGAATGGGTCTTATGTTGTATATCCAGCTATCAAACAAAGAAGAGAAGACACAGATATTAGTGCTCTTTCAGATT